CAAAAATAAATGACTTCATTATTGAATCTAAATTAATTATAATAAAAAATTGAATTAAAAAAATAACATAAAAAACAAGAACTTTTAAATATTTAATTTGACATTAAAGTCGATACATTTTTTTTAAAATTTTATGATATTTTTAAATTTATTTTATTCAAAAAATAAAAACATAATTGTTTTTTTCAGTACCACATAAAATCATATTATAACCTCGACGTTGAAAAAATAAAATGAAACACTAAAGTCGAGATAAATCTCGCTGTATTGCGCGAGTACCCTTCTAGTATACATATTAATAGGAACTTAACAATTATATTAAATTCAACCAATAAAAAGATATCGGGTCCATGGGTTGGGTTGGGTTCAAATGATCATAACCCAATTTTAACTCAATACTTACGGTTTGAAGATTTTAACTACTTGATTTAACATCGAGTTGCTTCAAGTTGAGTTATTTCACGTTACGATGAGTTGGATTGGCCGGGTTTCTGGGTACCCCTAATATATAGACAATATAGCTTGTGTGAAGGTTCACATAGAAGAACTGAACCTTCACATATTGTGAACGTTCAATCATTTGTTTATGATAAATCATTATATATATAGACTTGAGATCATGTGAAACCAAGGGTTTTTGGTGAGACCTAAGTCCAATTCTCAACCATTGGATTAGATCTACAATGTGAACATTCATAATCACAAAATCGCCACGAGACTTCTCAATAATCACAAAATTGTCAGCGTGCAACTTTAGACCATTAGATCATTAGCTTATAAAGTTGATCAATGAACATAAATTTGTCTTACGAGTCTCACAAAAAATCTTTGGTCTCACGTGAACCCAACCCTATATATATATACACATATATAAAAGGTTCAATGATATTATTATTTTCAATCGGTTAAAATGTCTAACTTGTGGACTATTGTATATGTTGTGATAAGTTGTATGTTTAATGTATTATGAATCATTGGTTTCCAATCGAAAACTAAATCTCAGATTTATTTGTTATAAAAGACTGCTAAATTAACTCTCTACCAGTTTCATACTCATACACATCAGCATATCTCATCAATTTACTTTTTTTAACATATGGTTGACAAAAAAAAAATCAACATTTGGTTTAAAACTCATAATTATTTATAAACTTAATAAACTGTACAAACTTATAAATCCATTGAATACAATGTTTATACAGTGGTGTCTCATATGTGAAACGTTCAAGATTATTTTGCATGTGGAGAAAAAAGTCCGAATACTGTATTTTCAAGCAATATTCTTTTATATAAAAAATGATTTGTAGTTTCTACGAATAATATATGACTGTTTAATTTAATCATATACTTCCTCCGTCCCAGAAGAAATTTCCACGATGAAAGAAGTTACTACAAAAATGGGAAATACAAACCTTTGAGTGCGGTTTGAACTATTGTTGAACGTAATTGGAAGTAACCAATTAGATTTACGACGAAACCTTGAAATCGATCATGGATTCAATTTCAGTACCTCTATAGGATAGACCTCAATAGAAAACTGAAGAGTAACGACAACATGTGATTGAGTTCAGTAGTTCCTCATATAAAATTGTTGACTCTAGAGATATAGTAATATGAAGAAGACAAAATTGTTTCAAGCATCAACTAGAGATGAAAATTTTACCATGGGTACCCGCCCCTAACGAGACGGGAATTCTCTGCTTTTGCGGGTAATGGGACGGGGATGGATATTTATTTTCATATATGAAGCGGGATCGGGGCAAGGTTGGGGATAGCATTACCCACCCCTAATCCAACCCCGATTAAATTTTTTTAATTTATTTAATATATGTATATAAATAAATACATATGTATACATTTTGCCCTCAAATGATGAATCCCGTAATTCTTCTTAAAATGATAAATCTCTTTGATTTTCAATATTGATAATTAAATTAGTGATTATTTATTATAATTTTAACTTTAAAATACATGATGTAGAAGAGAGATTTTAAGAAATGACATATTTAGGGGTGTTTGAGATTACTTATTTGAAACAACTTATACTTTTTTACAAAAACACTTATCAACTTATTATAAGTCAAAATGGTTTAACTTCTTCAAAAACTCCTTATTACCGGTTTGACACCGATTTAATTTGTTTATCCAAACACTCAAAAGTGCTTATTACCGGTGTCACATCGGAATAAGTCAATAAATTGTTTTTATAAACAATCTCAAACATCCCCTTAATATATATTTTTTACTAAACGGGTATCCAACGGGTTACTTGAACCCATTGGGGATTCCTTCCCCCCAAACCTGTTAGGGATTAATCAGGTCGGGGTCGGGGACGGGGTCGGGAAGGGGGCGGGGGCATAAACAGGAGATGAGATCAAGAACGGGAGATGTTTTACTTGCTCAATACTCGGTCCGTTTCCATCTCTAGCACCGACAAAATCGGAAGAACCCCTTATTTCAAAGAGATGAGAACGAATTATTCATATTTCATTTTATGGTCGAATTAAAAGTTAACAAATAGTGAATCTAAATATTCCCCGGGGAAAATAGCTTTAATAATATGTAATATTATATATTTTAATTAATTAAAAACAATTTTATTCTTGATAATAAAGGAACAAACGAATTTCTTTTTTTAATATAAATTCGATATTAGTCGCTGATAAATCAAAATATTGGCGTCAAAAGCTCAACGAATTACTCCCGTGTGATGTGGTCTTGGGTCGGTAACATTTATGGTACAAAGTCGGCTTTCACCGAATTCCTATGCAATCGCTGCTGTGGTTCTTGAAATCCCACCTTCAATCTCATCAAACTGAAGTAAGATTCCAATCCCTACGATTCGTACAACTTCGGTGTATTGGATTTTAGTCTTGAAATCAATGGGAAATCATAAGGATTTTCTTCAAGTTTTCTGCATTGGAACGGCTGATACGAAGTTTGAAGAGCTTCTGTTTCTCTCCCAGTCCGTCCGATCCAATCTCACTAGCTTTTCGCCTACTTCTTACTCGAAGGTACATTTTCGATTGTATGTTCCTTGGTTGTTTCAAGCAATTAATGTACATCCTTATCGAATTAGTTGAATGCTTCATCAGAATTGTGATGAAGCTCTTAGATTTACTTTAGACTGAGCTCATATGTGCTTCTTTGGTTGAAGATTGTAGTATAGTACACTTTTGACTTTGGAAGTCCAGTTCGATTTTGCTCCGAAACCACTAGGGCTTGTCGTATAATTTTGTATTAGAAGTTGGATACTGATTTTGATCTAGACAAAAACAATATAATAACACTAGATTACAAGAAGATGCTATTAGTAACCAAAACCAAACCACATGAAACCGGTAAGTCCCACTCGAAGAGGGGTCGGAGCATCTGTGGTGGGGTGGACCCAGACCATACCTTTGCTTGAAGATTAAAGTATCTGTTTCCTTGAAAGTGGACGAAAAGAAATAATAAAGTTTGTGCAGAACATTTGCAGAGAAGGAAGATAAGAACTTGAAAATCGAAAGACAGTGCTAAAATTTGGAAACGAGTTAGAAGTAAGCAACAACAAACAAACCATAGAAACAGAAGCAGGTAGAAGAAAACACACCAAGGTGCTATTAGTAATCAATTCTGTTTAAATATGGAATCAGATAATTAGTCATTAAGATGTCTCTCTAAGACTCTAACTTCGGAATGGTTCTTTAGTGATCTTTATTTGGGTATATCAATATGTACAGGTACAAGTTATAGTTGTCGATGTGTCGGTTGGATTGAAGGAGATAAATAGCTTTGGGGATTTTAAGTTTGTCTCAAGAAAGGAACTTTTCACTTGCTACTCTGAATCTGAAAACCGACTGGAAACTCAAATTCCAGATGCTAGAGGTGAAGCCCTGGCGGTCATGAATAAGGCACTCACTGTGTACCTTAAAAAAGCTCACCAGCGTGGGTCTGTTGCTGGCCTTGTTGGGCTTGGTGGCAGTGGAGGAACATCGGTATTGTCATCTGCTTTCAGGTCACTGCCACTTGGAATACCCAAGATCATCATATCAACCGTAGCAAGTGGTCAAACCGAACCTTATATTGGGACATCAGATTTGATTTTGTTTCCATCAGTGGTGGACATTTGTGGGATTAACAATGTGAGTAGGGTGATCTTGTCTAATGCGGGCGCTGCTTTTGCTGGGATGGTTTCTGGAAGGCTTGTGGATTCGAAAGAATCTTCTTCTGGTAACGACCAGTTTACAGTTGGTTTAACCATGTTCGGGGTTACAACTCCATGCGTAAATGCTGTTAAAGAAAGATTGAACAAGGAAGGTTATGAGACTCTGATTTTCCATGCAACTGGGGTAGGAGGCAGAGCTATGGAGGAATTGGTTAGAGGAGGATTTATACAGGTAATTCTTGAATGTTTTTTTTTCCCTTTTTGCATTCTTGAATGTAATTCTGTGCTGAAATTGCATTATATTTTTGAAGAACCTTCATGGTGATCCTCAATAATGATGATGATATTTGACCAGAAATTTGATAATCATGCATATAAATTGGAACATGGTATTTATGATGCTTTGCTGGTAAGCTTAAAGTTGTCTCATTGCAAACTGAAAGAAAAGATAGCTGGTAATGCTTGTTTCACCTATTTGTAGACCTCCTATCGGCCGAAGTTCTTTAAAATGTTACTCCTCCTTCCCAAAATAAGTGTCTGTATTTCTATTATAGTTTGTCCCAAGATAAGTGTCTACTTTCCAATTCTATCCTTAATTATGAGATGGAGAAATTCATTACTTTCTCTATCATCAAGGGTAAAATTGTCATTTTGTCGATTAAAATGTATAATAATTACACCTTTTCTAAAACTATGTGCCTTTTTCATTGTGGATATTTTTTCTGGGGTGGAGGGAGTAGTTCAAGATTAGCAAATGGCAAACCATCCTGTTATAAAGAGTCGTCACATGCTCCGATGCTAATTTTTCATGTTCTATATGCAAGTAGCACACCTCATGTTGTATCTAATTACTTTTGCAAGGGTGTTTTGGACATCACAACAACAGAGGTTGCAGATCATGTAGTTGGAGGTGTTATGGCTTGTGATGAATCCCGTTTTGATGCAATAATAGAAAAGAAAATTCCTTTTGTTCTCAGTGTGGGAGCCTTAGATATGGTGAACTTTGGTGCCAAGGATACCATACCTACAAATTTTCAGCAACGGAAAATATGGGAGCACAATGAACAGGTGATAAGACCTTCTCCGCCTCTTCTCTTCTTTGGCACTCATTCGGCTCAAATATTAACTCTAGAATTCAATGAAATTTCCTCTTCTATTGTAGCGAACAAGAGCAACTACACTTTGCTTGATGCCTGCTATTGCAATGCCTTGTAATTTCCCTACGAATATGAAATTGATTGGTGAATATTGTCATTTAATCTCTCTAGCAGACTCCTCAAAGAAATGCTGCTCAACATTTCCCTGCTAGACCATTGGGATGAAATCTTTTAGCATCCTTCTGTTTCAAGGCAAATGGTGTTTCTGGAAAATAAATTGGTTGAATGGGTTAAACCAAGATAAGGTGGCTGACCAGATTAATTCATGGCTTAAACATTAGCCCATACTCAAACACTTCCGCATAACTTAATGATTATACCATTGAGTCCATTAGGCTCATTAAGCAAAAATCAAGCACCCTATTAGTTCTAATTGTACCTAATAATTAGCTAGTTGTACAAATTTAAAGGCTATGATAGCTCGTGGCTGATAGATGCCCAAAATCTTCAAATATTTTTTCTTATAACAAAAATACACTCATCACCTACAGGTCTCAGTGATGCGAACCACAGTGGAGGAGAACAAGAAATTTGCTGCCTTCATTGCTCGAAAATTAAACAAGTCATCATCAAAGGTACGTGTTTGTCTACCAGAAATAGGCATCTCTGCTCTGGATGCACCTGGAAAGCCTTTCTATGATACCAATGCTACTGGTGCTCTTATAGAGGAATTAAAGAGGCTTATTGAAACTACCGAAGATAGGAAGGTTAGTTTGGTGGTTAATCAAACTATGTTACAGTTCTCATTTGAACCTGCCCTGTTAATGTAATCCCCTGAAATATATGTTTGATAACAATGTAGGTGAAGGTGTACCAATATCACATCAATGACACTGAGTTTGCAAAAGCTTTGGTTGATTCGTTCTTAGAGATACATAGGAAGCCTAAAGTTTCTAGTCAGCAACAGAGGGTTATTGAACCCGAGCAAGGCCTTCAAAGGAACAAGGATGATCCAAATATGCCCACCGAGAGTTACACAACCATCTCTTACAACTTAACCAACTTCCCTGATGCAAAGCCAGGTAAGCGATATTCTTTGATTTGTCATTATGGTCGCTATACTTGATAGAAATATATATTCTAATAAATAAATAGTTCCATGTCATTGTTATTGCAACGCTTCAAAACCCAAGGCAAGAGGTTAATCCATCAACCTCTAAATCAACTTAAAACCCCGGTGAAATTGTGAAAGTTATTGGTAGTCCACAACTTCGGAGAATATCACACCCACTTTTACGAATAGTTCATGCCGAAATTTTGCTAGAAAATGCCATCTAGGCAGACCCAATAACCTCTAAATCAACTTAAAACCATGGTAAAAGTTATTGGGTCTAGGGTCAGCACGTTGCTGTCGGCAATGGGTTGTCGCAAACTTCCCCACTTAAATTCCTGACATCCTTGTAAGATTTGATCTTGTGTTTTGAAGTTATTGGGTCTGCTGCTTTGAACATTGGGATGTTATAGTTATCTTGTTATGATGTAGTTCAAGCAACACATTGTAAACATTAGCTCACGGATCTTGTTGATTGATTATCTGTTATACAATACACCAGAGACATTGCAAAGAACTCAGGCAGTGCTAGAGATGTTGAGAGACCAAATAAGTCAAGGAAAACCAATAATAGGGGCGGGAGCAGGGACAGGCATATCTGCAAAGTTTGAAGAAGCCGGTGGTGTAGATCTCATTGTGGTTTACAATTCAGGGCGGTTTCGGATGGCAGGAAGAGGTTCGTTAGCAGGCTTGTTACCATTTGCCGATGCAAATGCTATTGTGGTTGACATGGCTAATGAAGTATTGCCGGTAAAATAAACTTGCCGTTTTGAATCTTGTGCCTTCTATTCACTTATTTCTTTTTCTTGTTAAATTACTTCATTTGCTTATATGGTTTTCCGTATAAGAGTAGTCAGGGACTTGTTCACTTAACCTTTCATTTTTAATTGAAAGGGCAGGTAAACAAGACCCATAAATATTTTGAGAACCTAGGAACCAACTAACTGTTCGTGCTGTATTCATGATGTCATGATAGGTATTATTGATAGAAAATTACTCTTGATGAAAAATGCATGATATTCATGATGAATAATATGATTATTCAGGGTTATTCATCATGAAATAGTTCGTTCCCATATTCTCAAAATATTTAGGGTTCTCATTTGAACTTTTATCTTTCATAAAAAGGTCAATTAATAGCACTTATGAAGTTGCTTTTCTTCATAGTTTTGACATGGGTATCTATAGGTAGTGAAAGAAGTAGCTGTTCTTGCTGGTGTATGTGGGACTGATCCTTTCCGCAGAATGGATCACTTTCTGAAACAGTTGGAGTCGATTGGATTCTGTGGTGTCCAAAACTTTCCCACTGTTGGCCTTTTTGATGGTAATTTCAGGCAAAATCTTGAAGAAACCGGAATGGGATATGGGTTTGTATTTCAACCAAAACTTCATTTTTTTTCTTTCTTCTTCTGTGTATTTCCACCAACGTGGCTTAACTTGTGCAAATTCCGCCATTTCATTTTCTTGTTTTCAGGTTGGAGGTTGAGATGATAAACAAAGCTCATAAAATGGGGTTGTTAACTACACCATATGCTTTCAATGAAGATGAGGCCATTGAAATGACGAAAGCTGGTGCGGATATTATTGTAGCGCATATGGGACTCACGACTTCTGGTTCAATTGGCGCAAAGACAGCCGTCTCATTGGAAGAAAGCGTAAATCGCGTACAAGCTATTGCAGATGCTGCTCGTAAAATCAATCCTGATACAATAGTGCTATGCCATGGAGGTAACCCTTTTTAGGATATTGCTTGTTGGACTCTCACATCAGTTAGATATAGACCATTAAAACTGTATATATATGTAGGGACCTCCCCTATCTCTATAAGGGCTCTTTTGGAGAAAGATTTAATGGGGTTCTACATATCCTAATACTGCTTATGGTCTTAAGCATATACAATGTGTCCCTTAAGATATCGTAAGCACAAAAGTTTCTCCTTGTTGGTAAAACATTGGTTTTTAGAAACACATTCAACAATGTAATTCATGGAAACAACTGTTCTACTCTTTGGGGTAGATGCCAGGTTTACGTACATCCACGGAAATAGTTGCTATGCTTCTCAGGATCCCACCCCAAACCCAATCAGGTGGGATCATTCATTTTTTCTGATTTTAGTCAATAATGTGGTTCACAGGTCCTATATCTGGTCCAACGGAAGCCGAATTCATATTGAAGAACACCAAGGGAGTTCATGGATTTTATGGGGCATCAAGTTTGGAAAGATTACCCGTGGAACAAGCGATAAAAGGAACCGTTGAACAATACAAATCAATATGTTTAGAATAGAATGCGTTTTCCATACAAACTTTACGCATTTGGTGCATAATATGAGAGAGAAACTTTTGTGGTGTATCCTCTGTTCTGTTTGTATGTGTACTTACAGTTTAAAGTGTAGAAGGTTGGTAGTAGTTCATTAGGTTGTAATATGTTATTAATAAAATTTTGCCTCAAGTTTGATGGTTTATAAATCATGTCATTATGAGTTCTTGCCAATTTGGTTGAAATAAACAATATATATATATATATAATTTATCAATTAATATATATAAACGGGTACCCATCTCCGATTTAGGGGGGAATCTCCCGTCCCCAACTGGGGCAGGTGAACCGGGTTCCCCGATGAGTCGGGGACCATTCTCATGCCTAGAGGGGTGTGCAACCGTGGTCTTAGAGGTGTTTTCAAGTGGTGACACCATTTGATTATAAGAAACAAAGTTGTAGATAATTTTTATAAAATCATCATTGATCTATTGCTTAGTTATCTGTTTTTCATATATGAAGTCTTGTGTTCGAGTCTTCTGATGCAATTTTTTTCCCAGAAATATAATAAATTTGAAGTTAAAAGCTAAAAACTAAGAAAATGACATAAACAAGATTTGAACACGTGCTTGAGGTAGAAGAAAAGTCATGCAAATCAACTCTATCTAAGAAAAATTGTTTCATTGTTGTAACTACAAAATATATATTGTTGCACACAAAAAATGATGCAATGTCACATTTCATGACCCTATAATTTTTTACATTATGATGGAGGAACGAAGCGGTAGCCCATGCCACTTTATCTAATAAAATGGGTCCGTCCCTACGTGATCTTCGCAATTTAACTTTGACAACCACGATTAAAACAAATCACGTGTATATGATGTAAGAAGAATCAAAGATTTAATAGTTTCAAATTCATCGTTAGATAACCTTTTAATTTATATTTTAGATTAATGTTTTCATGATTAAAAAGACAATATTGGGTTCTTGAATCCATTCCTTTTTTAGTAAGAAGAAGTTGATTATTTAGGGGTTATATATGTTGCTTGCTGCTAGTGTTTGTGGATTTCCATGATTGTTTCAATTGGGCATTGTATGTCTAAGATCCCATATTAGTTGGGAGGAGAACAAAGGTTGTTTTATAAGGGACTTGATACCTTTTCTACCCGACGTGTTTAAAAAACCGTGAGTCCAGGTTTGTGAACAAAGCGGACAATATCTGGTATGGTTGGCCTGGAATGTTAGAGTTTGGGGGGTTATGTCCAACTGTAACATTAAGCAATATCACTCAAGGTCGTTTACCAACACAAACCGAATAGGCACTAAACCAAATCAAATGAGCTTATTACATCTCATTTGAAGGTGAGTTTATGGGGTATGATGTATGCAGATCTAATCGTTTTCTTAAAAAGTAGAGCGACTGTTTCTATGACAACCTTCAGTTTGTGCATGTCAAATTACAAAAAGGGCAGAAAGTGTTAATTAAAGCAACAAACATCTTTTCTTCAAACACGAAAAGATTTGATGTTCTATAGTTTGACTGCACCTACATGATAAATAAGTTGCTAATATGATTATAAGCGTAACGTGTTCTTATACGAGTTTACTGTTAACATGTATTGTTTAAGCAGTTCGTAGTGAGCATCAATGATGAAAAGTGTGTGAGTAGGGGTGTTAATAATTCGAGCTTTTTAGTGAGTTGTTTGAGCTCAAACACAAAATAAACCGTTTAACTTGACGACTCGAGCTCAGTAATACCAATGTTTGACTCGGCTCGTACAGAAACTCGATTAAATTTTTCGAGTTGAGCCGAGCCATTTGAACATGCACTTTCTCAAGGCGCACATGTTTTATGTGTTTGTAAATCACTACATCATGCGATTAAAATATTATCGTCCTCAAGCCAGTAAACGAGCTAATTGATTTCGAGAGCGAGACAGTAAACGAGCATCAAGCTCGAAATTGAACATTGAAAAAAATATTCAAGTTCAAGCTTGAATGCTAGTTTGAAAAGGTTATTCGAACTCTAGCTGACTTCGAGTTTGATATTATTTTCTCGAGTTGAGCTCGAATAACCTACTACTCAACTCAGCTCGTTAGCATCCATAGTCCCAATCTGAACTTTTTTTTTTCTGGTTGATGAAATTGGTTTTTTTTATTTGGTTCTCGGTGATTTGTGGTTCTCGATAATTTGTGGTGTTTTTTTAAATTAGGGTTCATAGATTTGTATTTTGACTACTAATTTCATTCATGAGTTTCGTGTTTCTGCTCTTTTAAATTCTAAAATCAATGGGGAAGAAGAGAAACAAAAAGCACGATTTCTCCGAATGGGTTTGATGTTGTTGTTATTAGTGATTTAATTCAAAGATTTAAAGGTAAACCGAGAGTTAAGATGAACAAAAAGATGACTAATAAAGACCGGGGGTAAAATGGTCATTTCTGATATTCAGACTGTTTATTCAGTACAACAACCGAACGATAACTTATCTGTTAAAAATACAGACAACTATATTCATACAGACAGTTATATCCATACATGTCTTAACAGAAAACGAACCGAACAGCCCCTTAGACTCGCTAACAGCCTTATTTAAACTCATATTTAACTCAAAAGGACGATCCCGCCTTGAACCCACTTTAAATATAGAAATCAGCTCTCGTTCCTGCCTCGTTTACTGTAAAGGCGATGAATAAGGACCCCTCCGAGTTAATTTTTATAAACCAAACCAAACAAACTCGGCATATCCATTAGAAAATAGGGGGTGGGAGGGGTTAAATTTCCATCTTTAATCTATATGTTGAAGAGTTTTCATTGGGTTGGGTAATTTATTCCAAATTCTAATAGTACAGGGACTCATGTTGAAAATTACGCCAACATAAATTTTGGACGAACCACCAAAGTTTACAATTTTGAACGACATTCGATTTTCGACTGGGGTTCGGCAAAAGTTCTCTTCAAATCTGAGATACGTGGTAAGTTTCAAAGATTCCATGGCTTTATCCGATTTAAATCCATATTCGTATCATAAATTTAATGTTATTCAGATCATGGTACCCGTGTGATCTTTGATTTGTGTTCCAATTCATCACGTTTTGGAGATTTTACTTTTCGAGCAATAATGAAATTGTAATTTAGGTTTTCTACAGAGAGAAGACAATTAATTAGTGGCGATGGCGATGGATCCGGATGCAGTTAAATCGACTATGCAAAATCTAGCATTTGGAAATGTAATGGCTGCAGCTGCTCGTAATTATCAGAAGGTATGTATCTATACTCTCAAGTGTGTATGCAATGAACGTAACTTATGAAGATTCAATTCTCTTGTGCTGTTAATTTCACCTTTATTTTAGACATTTAACATTTTTGGATTAGGGTTTGTAAATTTAACCATGAAGAACTAAAAGGGAGATTGTGATTCAATTAAGTATGTACTCCTTTAGTGTGTAAAGAGAGTCCTATTTTAGTCTTGAAACTCAACATTGAGCTTTTAAATTCAGAATTGATGACCATATTTATTAGTTTTTTCCCCTCATATTTCATATTGTAGTAATTTTCTAATGGTTTAGTGTGGTTATTAATTTTATATTTAACCAATAAATTATTATTTTGAAGTTAATAATTAACTAATTTGATACATAAGAAAATCAATTGTGCATTGTTTTCAGAGGGGGGGGGGGTGCTTGATATGACAAGATATGTATTGAATTTTAGAAATAGTGAATGCTTTACTCATTCACATTTACAAATGGAAGTGCAAAGATTGAAGCTGGATAATCATGGCTTATAATTAATCACTAAGACGTTTACAACATAGATTGTTTCATCAACTCATCAGATGTAAATTAAGCTTTCTTGGGATTGTTTAAGGAAGCCAAGATAGCTTTCATGGATACTGAATCATGTGTAGCAAGCGTACCTGAGCATTACTTTTGATCCTTTGAAATTTTATATGTACATGCAAGTATGATGACTAAACCAGAAGTAGTGCACAAAAGAGAAAAAGCATGGTGGAAGCTGCTAGTTCAAGAAACATATATTTGCATGTCCAAAATATGTTAGGAACTTTATGTTAACTAGATATATTAGATACCTCAAATGTACTGACAGTGTGTATTATATCTATGGAATAATTGCAATCAACAGGGTTGTGATGTGCAAGCTGATCCTGCGTTATGTGTTTCAGAATTCTAGCAGTGGCTATGGTACCCATTTTGGTTGCATCTAGAAATCATTGCTGTACTTATTGTACCTTACAGATGCACATCTAAATAGCAGAGAATCTTCTGATTGTTTAAGAGCAACCAAAAAGAATATGGCTATTTAGTTCATTTCTGATGTACACATCATATTGGGTGAAAATGATGATGATGTAGTTTCATCAATAAGGAGATGTAGGATCAATGCTTAATTGATAGCGTACTTGTTTAACATTAACTAGAGAATGGGTCTATATTCAATTAAGTAGTGTCAAATAGAGAATGTCTTTTTGCTTTTCATAATGTCACAACAGATGATGGGTGAATGATCTAAAAATTGCATTGTGAAATGCCACTAAAACTATTTGTAAATTGAATTCTTATAGGAAGTGTTGGCTCAAGAAAAGGCACAAACATCATCTTCTGTTAATGAGGAGGTTGATCTTGATGAGTTGATGGATGTAAGTTGGAACTGCATTTCTCATACTACATAATATGTTTATTTATTAAAATCTTCATTTTATTCTGCTTGCATCAAACTGTATATCAGGACCCTGAGCTGGAAAAGTTACATGCAGATAGGATTGCGGCACTTAAGGTTGTAATTTGACTATTTTAATGCAAACATATGTAGTACATGAAATTGGGGAACTCTTTTTGACATTTCATGTCTTTATGCTTTGATCCTTCATCCCAAAAGAGAGAAGCTGAAAAGCGACAATCATTGACGAAGAAAGGACATGGGGAGTACAGGGAGATAACCGAAGGGGACTTTTTGGGTGAAGTCACTGGTAGTGAAAAGGTGATTTGCCACTTCTACCATCGGGAGTTCTATCGCTGCAAGTAAGTGTTTTTCTTCGGTTTCATACTCTCTCTTCGAGTCCCTCGCTATTTAAATCACTATTTTTTTTTGGTAACCATGGGTGTCCATGCCAACTTGCGAGCCACTCGACATATTTCATGGGGCCCTGAAGATACAACTAGGAAATCCTCAGTGGCCCTTAGGTGACTTGACCTGACGTCCTATGGGTCACTAGTACTACCTCTAGTTATGACTATTATGCTATTAGTGAAAATGAATTTATCGGAAGCAGGGTTTCTACCTGTTGTTGAATTGTTGTTTTGGGTGCCTTTGGGGTGTGGTGGAGTGTGGCTTTGGTTGTATTCTGCAATTGTTAAACCCAAGTATACGTGGATACACGAGAGGCAATTTTGGTTTTCTTTTTTAAAACCAGGGAGATAAAAACTAACTATAAAATTATGAATTAAAGTTAAAAAGATAAAAGTTAAAAGGCAGGCACTTTGCCTGCAAGAAAGAAAACAGGTGAGATAATATAATGAATTTGTTCCTTTGATAGTTTAAATTAATATGGGCATTGGGCACACCATGTAGAAGTGAAAATAGGATACGAATTAAACTTAAATGATGCTTATTCTATATGTTTAATGTATGAATCAACATAAAATTGCATCCTGGCATCCACATGTCATTATTAACTGGTTTTTCCTTTCTAACTGAATTATAGTTTGTCTTGGTAGACCTCTTAGTATAATCTATATATTTTGGTTCATTCAGGGAAATGTGAATTTTGACAAAACGATCACCATCAAAAGAATGTGAAAGTTTTAAAGAGGATTTTAGGATTATACATATACTGATAGATTATGAATCTTGATGCTGTTGTCTGGAAAAATATTGCAAATACTATACAACCTTCCGTTGATGCTTGAAGTCCCCCTTCTTTGCGCTTTCACGCCAATCTCTGCCGAACCAAAACCAACACTTGTTCAGTAAAAAATGGATTATAGAGAAAATTTCCCAGTTCCTGGATTACCACGACGAAGGTTCATGCATGTCTTTTATGCAGGCAATCAAATCCTAGTTAATCTAGTAGAAGGGTAGCCTGAGATCATCTGCCAAGGAAATGAGGCTAATTACATTTGGTTGCAAGTAAAGAATTTAGAAATAAATATGAAAAAACAATGAAGAGTAAAATGCAGAAAAAAATAATTATTTTTAATGTGAGAGTAAAGCTCTCAAGTTTCCAGCCCCTGCTTGATTAACCATATTAATTCCTAATCTGGTTTTTACAAAGTGTTAAAGGTACGCCTTTAAGACTACAACAGCACAATCATACACACACACACACACGTATGTATATGTACTTGGAAGACCACCAATTCTTGTGAGACCTGCGAGACCATCTTAGACCCCTTGGATGAGTTGATCTGGCCGAATCTTCACATCAAATAACACCGAATCTTCACAGCAGAACACCGAATCTTCACGCGACCAAACTTTAACATGAAAAGACTGAACCTTCATGTGAAAATATTAAAAATACAACAAACCGTCATTGACAAAACACACCAAACCTTCATAGTGGTTTCACGGGTCTCATGAAAACTGGATGGATACAGTAATACCATCCCAACTTTTATGGTTTCATGCTCAATAATGATGTTATATCTTACAGGATTATGGACAAGCATTTGAAGTCTCTTGCAACGAGTCATCTAGATGCCAAGTTTGTTAGACTAGATGCGGAGGTCTGCATTTTTGTACTCAAACTGCATTTCATCATTAGTATTAAGTTCTTTTTCGTATATATATACTTACATACATATAATATGTATTGTTTGACTTGTGGTACGATCATGCAGAATGCCCCTTTCTTCGTCACCAAACTAGGAATCAAGACACTGCCATGTGTTGTATTGTTCAGGTCAGATAGATCACAATTCCCTTGTACAGGTGTATTGATTGCTGTTGTATATGCTTATTGATGCAATTAGTTTTAGAAATTTGTAATATGCTTTTTAATTTACTAAATGACAATTTTACCCTTAATAATAGAGGTAGTAATGAATTTTTCCATCTCATAATTAAGTGTAGAATTGGAAACTAGACACTTACTTTTGAAAATGGACACTTATTTTGGGACGGAGTACAATTATGTGGCTGAAGATTCATTCTTTTTCTCAGAAAAGGAATTGCAGGAGATAGGCTGGTTGGGTTTCAAGATCTGGGAGGAAAAGACGATTTTAGCACGAGGAAGCTAGAAGCTTTATTGATAAAGAAAGGTAATATTTCCTTCTAAAAGTCCCTGTTTAGGGCTGCTTAGAGGCTTCTTTTCTCTGTTCAAAACTGTCCGGAATACGAAGATAGCTAAAATAAACAACATATATATATATATATGGTGGTCTATCTAATTCTACTATTTCTTAATGATTAAGCAAAAAAACAAGCATCTTTTGATGGCTGAACAAATAATTCTAGTTGATTAAGCAAATAAAGTAGAAAACAAATAGGCTGTTTATGGAGTATTTCTCGTGTTAATAAGGCGCTAACGCTTAACCTGTATCTGAACATGTATATCAGTTGCTTTTATGAAGTTCAAGCGTGGATCTTTAAACAATTATACGCATAATGTAATCAGTTGTAAACTTGAATTTTAAGAGTTATGCATTAATAGGCAGTATCTAATGTTTAATAAGTTGTTTTAACTGTTTTTACCAAATGCTTTGAAAATAATTATGTTAAAATCGAACTCGTTATGCGTTTACTTAGTGATTTAAGTGTTAGAAGTTACTTGCCCGTCTAGCTTTGCTTAATACTTTTTAGAACTCTGGTTTTGATTCGTTCTGGAATCGTGTTGCTCATGGTGCTCTTTTAATCATATTCGTTGTGTAGGTATTATTGAAGAAACTAAAAAAGACGATGACGAAGAAGGTGAATATGATGAAAGTAGACGTAGGACGGTGAGATCTTCCGCTAATCATGATTCCGACTCGGAATAAAAAGGTTGAAGGGAAAATAACATCTGCATCCCGAGTTCGATGATCAACGTTATTGTATTGTATAATTTGCCAAGATTTTGAGTTGCAGTCGTAAGAGTAGCATCGATGGATCATATACGCATCGGTCTGTATCTTTTTTGTATGAATGTTAACTTTAAATTTCGATATCCAAAATCAACATTGAAAAATCTGTTAGAACAAAAACCTTTCGTGTTTTGAAAAAACCTGTCAGAGATGTAGATTCTCAAAAATGGAGAAGAAAAACTCAAAATCTAAAAAAAAAAATTACATCATAATTCCAATCGATTTTTTATTTTGAAGATTAAGGGACCGTTTACTAAATACTTACCTGATAAGTGTGGATCGAGTAACTTTTCTCACTTGATGGCTGATGCACATGGTAAGGGCTGAAAATCTTACCCGATGAGAGCGATAATAGAGATAGAGAGTCTTACCCGGTAAATGATGAGGAAGACTCTTACCTGGCTAAGCGTTTATCGGGTAAATTGTTGCATACGATACCGTTTTAATATACTACAATCTTATATGGTAAAATAGATCATAGTATTGACTACTATCAGTAAGCGCTTACTGGGTAAGTATTTGGGTAAACGGCCCCTAAGGCATCAATTTTATTATTAATTATATATTATATATGTAATAAAATATTGTCTCTCTTTATCTATATTATGTTACAAAGCATTTGACAAAAAATTTTAAAAATCATTTTTTATGCATGAAGTATTGTTTATTGATGCATATTACTTAAAATTCAAGATTACAAATAAATTGTACGTAAGTACAACTTATTAAAGCTTCATGTTTGAATTTTTGTAACTAACTACAGATAAACATAGTCAAATACAAGATAAACATTTTATTTTAAATATAAAAAATCTAAAATATAATTAGGATAATCATTGAGTTCTAACAAAATACTTAATCATTATCATTATAAAAAATTATATTATTAAATCAAAAATAAATTATTTCGTTACTCAATCAAAATTAAATTATAATAAAAAAATTGAATCAAAGAAATTACACAAAAACAAGAACTTTTAAATAGTTAATTTGATACTAATATTGAAATATTTATTTTTGAAATTTTAGAATATCTTCAAGTTTATATTTTATTCAAAAACAAAAACATTATCATTTTCTCAAAACCACATAAAAACCATATTAAAACATCTACAGAAACGGAATAAAACAAAACACTAAAATCGAGATATACCTCATTACATTACACGAATACCTTTATAGTAATATTTAACATTAATGTTTCTTTTTGTTGGAGATATGTTAAAATCTTACGATAAAGAAGTTCTTAAAAGTTTTGAAAAATCTATTAAAAAAACAATTTATTTATTTTTAAGAAAGTATTAAAAAATATGTAAAAATAAAAAAAGAATTATGTCCTAAAAATCTGTTGAGATATTCGAACTCAATTAAGGATTTTGAGAATATACATAATCAGTGAATAAGGTCTTATTTATTTAAGCACAAAACCAAACATCAAAGTGGCTGTAGTTTAGTGGTAAGAATTCCACGTTGTGGCCGTGGAGACCTGGGCTCGAATCCCAGCAGCCACATCTTTTTATTTATTTATGTATTTTACTAAGAATAACAACAGTCCCTAAACTATTCGCGGTTGCCATTTTAGCACCTCATAGTTCCATATTCACCAAATTGATCCCTGAACATTTTAAATGATGATGCTTTTTACCATATGTGGAGGTTCAAACAACTTAATAAATGAAAACTTGAGAATATATCTTAGGGGCCGTTTACCCAATTGTTTACTCGGTAAGCACTTATTTATAGGAGTTAACACTATGATTTATTTTGATGCGTAAGATTTTGGTATATCAAAACATATCGAATGCAACAATTTACTGGGTAAGTGCTTACCTTGGTAAAAGTCGTCATCCTCACTTACCGGGAAGACTCTCCATCCTTCTCATCGCTCTTACCCGGTAAGATTCTTGACTCTTTTCATGTTCATCCGATGAAGAAATTTATCCAGTAAGCACTTATCAAATAAGTGACGACCCCTTAATAAAGATACTCCCATTGACGTGATTAAAAATACAATTTTTAAAATAAAATAAAAATATGCCTATTTTAAAAAAATGAAATATAATAAAATTGTTAGCGAGATACATTATAAAAACGAGCATTATATCTTTTAACTTGATCCATATTATTGTATGTGTCATGATATTCTTACGTCCTCATAAATTAAGGGCGTTTTTTTAAAAGAAAATAAAAGGTCCGCTTCCACGATTTCATCTATATTTAATCTCAAAGTGGTACTTGGTCAGTCCCTAACTATCTGCAACAGTATTGGTGGTGCAAAACAAAAGGATCGGTACACGACGAAAGATCGTGTGAGAAGTGAAGTTAAGATGAGAAGCGTAAAAACGGATTTTCATCCTTGATCACTTTTAATCTCATGTACACCCATAAATTGCGCTTTAGAATGAAATTGGTCTGGTGCATCATGGCGTACCTCATCAGTGTTGACATTGAATTAGGATTGATCTAAAGATGGAGATCTCTTCTTACGTTTCTTACCATGAATTTTCCAATCTTGAACCCACTTCCAAATGTACGCAAACGAACGAACACGAACGGTAAACGAAAGAAAATTTGTGTGTTCATGTTTGTTCGTTTAGAAATCAGATGTGCTCGTGTTCGTTTATATTCGTTCATTAACATGTTAAACGAACGAACATAATCAAACGGACTAAAATGAACATGTCTAAACGAACAAGCATATCAAATAGGTCTAAACGAACAAGCTTTAAACAAACAAACACCACTACTCATCAAGTCCTCCCTATCAAAATGAAACCAAAAGCAATATCCACCAAAAAAATAAAGCGATTTATAAAACAGAAACCAGAAGACCGAATGTGTAGAAAACATAAATACTTTTTATGACCTTGCTAACGGAAACCATGCAACCAGTTAATGGGGGATGTCGAAAACGAGCAGATTGAACCCAATAAAGAACAAAACAAAAGAAACCATACCTATTGGGGAGAACACGAGCGAAGAAATGAAGCGATTTAAGGTTCACGTTTACAACCTTCTTCAGCCCTTCACGATTTCTCAAAGGTTTCATCTGGAAGCTAGGGTTTTAGGGGGGATATGAAAAGGTAAAAAAATATCGAATAAAACAAAATGATGATAAAATTTAAATCTAAATAAATTCTGAAAAGTTAAAACTTAAATAAATATTATTTGAATTCAAACTAAATAAATAAAAGATTATATATTAAATTTAATATATAAACGAACGTAAATGAATGAACGTTCACGAACATAAATGAACGAACGAGACTCTATTCATGTTCATTCGTTTAACTAAACGAACAAAAAAATTTGTTCATGTTCGTTCATTTATTAAATAAACGAACTTCCCGCCGAACGGTTCGATGAACGTTCGGTTCGTTTACAACCCTACTTCTAGGTTGATGCCGAAACGTCAAGATTATACCTTGAACTTTTAATATAAATATACATACAAACAGGATAGAGGATACACGACAAAAGTTTCTCCTATACATGTACTAAATGTGGACGTTTGTTTAAAAAACGCATATCTACCTCTACCTCTACCTCTACCTCTACCTCTACCTCTACCCCTAAAAGCAAAACGGGTGTAGTTCTATTCTAAAGACATTGATTTGTCTTATTGGACGACTCCTTTTATGACTTGTTCGACAAGTAATCTTCCCTAAGTTGATGCCCATAAAATCCTTGGTGTTGTTCGATACGAATCGGCTTCCGTTGGACCATATTATTGAGTAAAATGAAAGAAATTAACGATCCTAGCATATTCCACAGAGGTAGAGGTGGAGTATGGTGATGAATGTATGCAGATCTGACCTCTATTTTAAGTCCCTGTTAATAGAAGAATTGTTCTCGTGGAGTACATATCCCACCAAAGGTGGGTTCTAGGGTTAGACTTGGGGTCATGTGAGACTAAAGGTTTTTCGTAAGACCCGTAAGGCCAATTTTCAGCCCTTGCATTAGATCTACAATCTGAACATTCATAATCACAAAATTGCCACGAGACTTCTCAATAATCACAAAATTGACACCGTGCAACTTTAGACCATTAGATCATTAGCTTATAAAGTTGATCAATGAATATAAATTAGTCTTATGGAACTCACGAAAAACCTTTGGTCTCACATGAACCCAACCCTCTAGGGTTGTATATACTATACGTTGTCTCTACCCAAAAAATAGAGCAGAACATTTGGAATACATTTATAACACAATTTTTAGTAATTCTTAAAACACGATATACACATACTTTTATTATTTGTTTTAATGTAATTATAATAATTTATCAGATAACAGTTAACTTTAACCGATAACATTTCTACAATCCTTTCGAATCTGTCCTCTGTAGCCCGTCAAAGGACTAATATTCCCCATTTTAACCATCGACTTCGCAAACTGTTGGAAGAACATCTCCTCATTTGCGGCATACTCCTTCACGACCTCCATCGTTTCTTTGTTTTCCGCAAACAAAATTTGATCGGAACTCAAAACCCCCTTTGAATCCATCAAGTTCTTGTAGTATCCATTGTCGAATTTCATCGGGCTTCCACTGTCCAGAAAAAACAGGTTCTGATCACCACCGGATTGTGGGCAGTTGGCTCGCAGTCGAGCAGCAAACAACTGGTCGGTCTGCTCGTAGCCCTTTTGGCTGTATAGTCGTTGTCGGAAGCTGGTGCATCGAGCGTTTCCAATGGTGTGGCTTCCTGAAATCAACCCAATGCAAGAATCAAGATCAGGCCTTTAAGGGTCGGTTTTTGGTAATATAAAACTAATTTTGTCGTAGTGTTAGATTACATCACCAGAAAGTGCTACGAGATCGATAATGTCAAGACCCATGAGTTTAAATTTGGTGAGGATGGTCTGGAAAGTGTTGTTTGGAGCTGGGATATTGTGGTTCGAGCCACGCAAGCTTGCACCCAATGAGTCCCTTCTTCCCACCGGGACTTCCCAACTCGGTCCACCACTCTGTATATACATACAATATCATAAAGGTTTAATTAATAGTGGGTTGGATATCCGGGTTAATAAAAAAAAGACCCATTTTTTATTGATGTCTGATACGTACCAGAACTGTGGAGTCTCTGGCTGCTAGAGCCAAGATATCTGCACAGGAGACGGTCTGGGGACAGGCCGTCTCCAGTGCAGCTTTGATCTGATCGATGACTTCAAATCCACGGACCGAGTTACTGTTGGGAACCGATCCCTTCTCACTAATTACGCTACGACTGCCACCATTGTCTAACAAGATCGATGCATCACACCCCTGTATATGTATGATCATCAATAACATTAATCAACAATCATAGAATGATCATTTTCTTACACGATTCACGGACCTTAACGAAGCAATCGTGAAAATGGAGTCTGAGCAAGGAAGCAGCCATGCGCGGCTCGTTGGCAACTGCTCGTGCAACGATGGAGTGAACGATGTCGTTGGCTTGTGGGCAAGATTGATCATAGAATTGTGGGTACAGGTAACCTCCATTGGTGATCTTAGAGAAGCAGATGGGAGTTAGAGCCATGAGTACCACCGTGACCATGGTCATGGTTGCTGTTTGAGCCATTTTTGTGATATGGTTCAAACCCACGACTTATAGTGAAGGCTTGTGTGGTTGACTTGTGAGAGTAAATAATCCCTATATTATTTATAGACAATTGTGGGGGATTAGATGCATATTTACAAGTTTGACAATCGCCTCCAATTGTTAGATAAAGAATGATGGTGTAAGAAGGAAAGTTATAATGAGAAGCGTAAGAAAAGATCTGAACCATTGATCACTTTTAATCTCATGTTCATCCATGAATTGCGCTTTAGAAGAGACTTGATTCGGTGCATCTGGTGCACCTCGTTAGTGTTGACATTCAATTAGAATTGATCCAAAAGTGGAGATTTCTTTTTATTCTTCTCACTGTAACTAAGATATTACTGTTTGAACCCCAATTCCATCAAACCTAAGCATTGAAAATAAAAATAATCCGATAATATAAGTAAATATAAATTTAATAAAAGGTTCAATCAACACATTAAAAAAAATATTAACCTGGATATCCAACCCGCTATGCGAGCCGACTAATACTAGGACGACCACCTGCTTTACATATACTCCAGAGTCACCATATTTGAACTTTCATGGCCACAAGGGGATTTTTATTCCTACTTGGATTTGAACTTAGGACCTACTGATACTTTTGACCTTAAAGTTAAGCTTAAACCAATAAGACACCACCCTTGTAATTCACATTAAAATTTTCATAGACAGTGGCCATCAAAATTTGTAGGGTGTGTTTTGTCTTTTCACCTCTTTAAGCCTTAACATGGAGTGGCTGAACCCCTTTGTAGTGTTGTGAGATTAGGTCAACTATTACACAAGTGCTTCATCAATCATCACCAATTACACGGTATGGATTCATCTTTTTATAAACCTAATAAGTTATATAATTTTTTTTATTAACCTGAATATCCAACCTGTTATGTGAGTCGACTAATCCGAGGTTGATCACCTGCTTTGTAGATAGCCGAGAGTCACCGCATTTGATCCTTCGTGGCCACAAGATGATTTTTATTCCTCATTGGATTTGAACCTGGGACCTCCTGGTATTTTGACCTTTGGAGCCAAGCTCAAGCTAATAAGACACCACCCTTGTGGTTTAATTTATATAAATTTATAAACAATACTTATAAGAATACAATTTTTATATAATGTCATTTCATATATGATAGTCTAGAACTGTTTTTTCTATATATAAAACAATCTTAGATGTTTCATAAGTGAAACAATACTGTATAAACATTGTATTTTCACACGTATAACATCATATGTAAAACAATACATATAAATGTTTTATAAGTTTGTAAATTAATAAACATGGGATATATATATATATATATATATATAATTTAAAATTTTTGATTGAAAAAGAAAACATAGATTATCTGTTTTCATTTGACCTTATCTTTGTGTATTATATGTAACCACCATGTGATTATTGATCCCTACCTCTTTTTTCTATCGCACAAAAATTATTTTATGTATTTGTTGTTAAAATGTGATTTTTTTAATGATAAATTATTAACAAATATGTATAATAAAGGTTAAATTATTTGTCTGGATAAATTTGTTTATCTGAGAGGCTGGAGATCAATGAATTTAAAAGAGGCAAAGAGAGAGGGTTAAATTATTTGTGGACGTTTCTGGTATCAGTTCTTTTGAGGTGGCTTAATAGGGGCAAGTGAGGGGATTCTACCTTATCTCATGTAGCCATTTTGGCTTAACGTTTAAGCTGTAAAGAAACACTCCTATATGGTTGTGTGAAAAAGTTGTTCATATCATTAAGCTCATTAAGATGTGAGTAAACAGTCTCTTAATCTTGTGGCATCGTGTTTTTCCCACTTTATTCTTCTGTTGATTTGCTACAACCCATTGCGTGTTTTGTTTTTGACGATGGAAAAAAGGGCTTGATATAGAAATGGACCTAGAAATTTTTCAAAATACTTGTACAAAATAACTGATATAATTAATACAAACAAGTGAGTCTAAAATACGCAACATATTTTTACAATTGAGTAATTAAGCCCTTAAACCTTTTTAACAAATAAATTCTTAAACTTACTGAAATCGAACAAATAAATCTTGAACTTACTAAAACTGGAAAAGACCCAACAAACTTTCACATTTTCAGAGACTAAGGGGCTGTTTACTAAATGTTTATCTGGTAAGTGCTTACCAAGTAATTTTCTTTATCTGATAAACATGACAAGGGTCAAAAATTTTACCCAGTAAGAACAATGATAAAGATGGAGAGTCTTATCAGTAAGTGAGGGTGAAGTGCTTACCGGGTAAATTGTTGCATACTCTACCATTTTAATGTACTATAATCTTACCCAGTAAAATAACTTATTGTGTTGACTCCTAAAGGTAAGTGCTTACCGGGTAAGCATTTGGGTAAACGGCCCCCAAGTCCTTGAACATTTTTTTAACGAATAAATCCTTACACGCTTAAACTAAAGAATATACAATTTCTTTTTCCATATATCAAAAAAAAAAAAATATAACAAACCAATAAAAAAAATACACTATGTTTATTAAAATATTACTTATTTTCAAACTCGAATGACAATCACATGAGTTTGTTTTGTGATTGTTATTTTGAATCTGAAAAATAAATACTTATTAGCTGCTCTTATGGTTATCATTTGAATCTGAAAAATAAATAAGGATATAAAATTGTATATAATCATTTACTTTTATTTGTTTATTGTATCTTGTTAGTGATCTACTGATATATAGATAGAAAATGACATATTTTTTTTCATTTTATAAATGTAAGAATTTATGCGTTCAAATAAATGTCTAGAGACTTAATTGTTCAAAATACAAGAGCTCATTAAGTTTCTATAGTTTTAGTAAGTTTAAGGATTTATTTGTTCGATTTCAATAAGTTCAGTGATTTATTTGTTTCAAAGACTTAATCACTATATTGATCTTTTTGGACTTTTCCCCAACATAAAATAAATAAATATTAATTGTAAAACCACACTTTCATTAAAGGGTTAAAAAAGTTGAGATGAGATGTGTAAGAAGAGATTTCTATCATTGGATGCACATTAAAAATGAGATGCACCAGATCAATCCCCGTATCAAATGCAATTCATTGATGGATTTGAGATTAAAGTTTATCAATGGTCCAGATTTTTCTTACGCTTCTTATTTTAACTCTATTTCTCACATGATTTTTCGCCTTCATTAAAAATGATAAATAAGATTTATGTTGTCACAAAAAGAAATTAAATAAAAAGCCAAAAAGGTTTGAACTTACCAGTAGACTTCAACTACTTTTATTAATTTAAGAAGCACACATCAACTTAAAAGCATGTATTTTTTTGTAACCTCTATTTTTTCTGTAAAATTTGTCAAAATGATTATTCTACTTACATAAATTGGTCTCCTAATCATTCATCTCCCTGATTTACGTACTATCTCCACAAGTATTACATCCATCACTTGCGGACCTAGCTAAAAGACAAAAAAAAAAAAAAAATCAAATTGTAGACCTGGTCGTCGCAATTACGGACATGGTCGTTGCAATTGTGAGCCTGAGTCAAATCTGATAATTTGTTTTTGTCTTTTAGCTGGATCCGCAAGTAGCGGAAATGAGACTTGTTGACATAATGATATTTGGGTAAATCATGAAGAGTAATGACTAGAAGACCAATTCATATGAGACGAATGACTATTTCGACCAATCTCCCTTTTTATCCTATTGTGGCAATTCGATCGAGCGGGAGCACCTTATACATAAGTCTGTCGCTGCTTTGATGATGATTGAGCTTGCATGACGATGGTATACCGGATCTTTGAGAACTTTCTGCAGAAAACTTTTTAAATTGAAGAGTAAATTACACTTTTGGTCCTTATGGTTGTCATCCACTAGCAACGTTTGTTCTTTTTTTGAACTAATTATATTTCTGCTCACTATAGTTGGCATTTTGTTTCGTTTTTCACTACAACAAAATCGGTTTTATAGGACGTCATCAATTTCAAAGCGTCCTAATAGACTGTTTTATATGACTCAATTTATAGGACTAATAAATAAGGAGTCATATTTAAAGGCGTTGTAATAAATTATAGGATGCTTTTAAAGCGTTTTAACAAGTTTTTTAGAACATTTTTAATATGAAGCGTCGCATTAACTATTTTATAGAACATTATTTGAAAATTGTCTAATAAAAACAAGTATCCTATAAAAAGATGAGGTTATAAGACACTTTTTTTAAAAATGTCCTATAAAATAGCTAATGGACGTTTTGTATTAAAAGTGTCCTAAAAAACTTGTTAATACGCCTAAAAGTGTCAAGTAAACTTATTACAATGTTTTTAGATAGAATCATTTATGTTTTGTTCCTATAAATTTAGTCTTATAAAGCAGTCTATTATGACGCTTTGAAATTGGTGGCATCCTAAAGACTTAATTTTGTTATAGTGGTTGGTTCCTCAGACTAACTTCATTCGATACGTTCATCAACTCAGTGATATTTTCGTCTTTATATTAGTTTCACTTATTTTAACTTAAAACTAAAATGATATATATATATATATATATATATATATATAATTACTATAATATATTATTAATATACATACACATATGCATGACTAGGGTTGGGTTCCACTGATTCATGGTGAAAAGAATAAAAATAGATCTTCACTCTTTCATCAATCTTAATTGAATGTCATCACTAATGTGGTATACTCGATCAATTCCCTTCTAAAACTCAATCAATAGGTGGGCATTGTTAGACCAACTTCAGTGACCGTGAGTTTATAGTTAGACTTAGGCCCAAGGCCTTGTATTTTATCATTGTATTTGTTACTGGGTATAGCCCATT